ATTTCCCCATTAGCAGACTTCCTGTTTCTTTTATGGGTAGAATTGTTGTAAAGTTACCATCCGTCCAGTCGTTACTTGAGACATGTTTCATCCTCTTCTATCAGCATTACGTTACACAGTGGAGATTTGAAGAAAAAGACTATGGTGTGGTTGTAACAAGTTGTTTTTTTCTTTCTCTTAAACACTTCAATGCGGTTTGCAGGACTCTTGACTCGACGTAAAAGCTTTGAATATCTTGCTCTCCCTGGAAAGATAGATGTGTCAAGAGTAGACACAGAGAAACTTATTTGGAAACTGGAACAGACGGGCGATGGGGAAACCCCAGGATAAAGTGAGATTTTCTTTAGAGCATCAGGGTGGAGAAATAAATGGAGAACCATGGTCGCCGATGTATGTCTCAGATCTGGCACTTAGTGATGGTGATAATCCGATTGACTTCGATTTATTTTTAATTGCAGGGCGAGAAAATATAATAGTTTCAACCCCAGTAGTAACTCGGCTTTTTAGATGTCAGATTTATGCTTACGTTGTGATAGGCATTGACACATAGGGCACTCAGTTGCTATCATGCTGGACTGCGGAGCGGATGGCCCTGGTTCAAATCCAAGAAGAGACGTTCTTGGACGCGCGTCGTTTTGTGTAGTTTTCAGTGCTACTGACTGAAGTTGTCGTTAGGCCATTCCCAAATGGGGAGGGGGGGGTATTAACATGTTCTTAAGCACAGTAAAATTGTAAATGGGCTGATTTATCAATGTCATGCTCATACTGTGCCGGAACAACATAGGGGGAACTGCAGCTTTTTCTTTCCTCATCCTTACTATCGTCATTTTTCCTCTACTTCTTTTGTATGTTTGTCACACTCTTGTGACCCGCTATTTCCGGTGTGTCTTGATAGTCGAAGCAGACTTTGTGCTGTTGAGGCTAGAGAGGTGAGCAGAGTAAGCCTGATTCCTTATTTGGACTTCTCTGTTGACATCCGCCCCTTGGCGTTCATATGACCTTTTGCAGTTGCGAGCGCCGTAAAACCTTACTAAAACAAACAAAGCTTATTTGTTTCAATTTTCGTTTAATTACTTTTCCCACAGGTGACAGAAAGCGGCGGGACTCTGTACAAAGTCTCCGCTACATCTCCTCCCTCGACTCCTACATCTCCTGCTCACAGAAAGGAGCGATATCCTTGTGGACTGGACAGGTAGGTGGACTGTGGAGTAACAACGCCCGGCCCTTCCTCCCGCTACCCTAACCGTCTAAAAAAAGCACACAAATAGACACACTCAGAGGTACGCACACACACGCACAAACAAATACACACACTCACACTCACACGCACGCACACGCACACACACACACACACACACACACACACA